CTTTATTATTCTCTAATAAACCAAGAGCTATACATGCACTTTTAAATATTGGATATTGAATATTATTAATAGTTTTTTTAGATGTTTAAATGATTTAAAGCCATGAACAACTATTAATAAAAGCTAGTATTCTGCAGATCTGATCTGAGTCCAGATCCAATCCAGATCTGATAGTCAAATCAGATCCAAATTCATAAAATATAAGATCTGGTAAATTCAAATCCAAATAAAGGATCTGATCCATACATTTGTTAGGATCTATTTGAATAGCATATGCTAATTGGCTATAGGTTATGTACTCAGATTGGTTAATCTTAAGAAAAATCTCTAAGCTATAAAGTGGTAAATATTTTAAAGTAAGAAAAAAAGCATTATGAATAATCTCTTTTTTTTATAAATACTATATAAGAATATAAGAGCTATTAAGAGCTTTTTTTTTTTTATGAATTTGTATAAGAATTATATTTTTTTATTTTTTTAAGATAATGAATATGGCACAAGAATCCTTTTTTTAATAAGAAAAAAAAAAACTAAGATTAATTCTAAGATTACAAGGATGTTGTTTTTATATAAAATATGATTTTTTTTTTTATAATATACACATATAAAGAACTTTCGTATTTTATGTTTCATGTTTTAACTTTTACAACTTTTACTAACTAGTAATTATAATATCAATTTCGTTTACACAATATTATATTAAAAATTATAAACCAGCATCTATTTACTTAAGTAGGCTTGAAAATTGTAATTTATATAGCAGCTTCTAGTATTGCAGCTCTCTTGCTAATTGGCAGTTATACGGTACATTCAATTTTTAAAATTCCTTTTGATTCTAATGAGGGCTCTATTTGTGCTATTAATAATAATTCTGAATATGTAGAATTATTTTGACAAACTGTATTAATTTTTTGAAATGAGATACCTATACAAAACTATCTTTGTATTAAGGCTGTCAATTATTCTTTGTGTGATATTAGAAATAATACTCGACCTTTTGATAGTATTATAGTTGTTTTTGGTGAAAATTTTTGTCAAATCTTACTAGTTGTTTCTAAAGGATCAAAAGAGCAAATAGTTACAGCTTCTCTTCAATAATCATATTTATAGTAGTATATAGTTATTCATATATTAAATATAAATATACAATTAGAGTTAAGTTTAAATAAATATAAGCAATTTGCAAACTGGCTTTTATAAGTAAGTTTTTCTATTTTTTTAATTTATTTTAAATTTTATAACTTAAAAATATATAATTGATATTACTATTTTATTATTTTTTTATTTATATTAATTCTTTATATTTTTTATATTTTTTTTAGATTGGAAATAGAACAAATATCTTAGTACTAAATAATATGGTTTCACTTTCTAAATATATTTCAATTTATTCTGATATGCATTTAGAAAGACCAAACAATGACTTTTTAAGAGATAAAATAATTTTATCTGCCTATAATGATGATATACATAACATCAATTGTGCTATACTTGATATGTTTTCTGGAGACAACTATATATACTTAAGTGCTAATAATGCAATAATAGAAAATGGTGCAGATAATAGCAATATATATTTACAGAATATTTAAATTCTCTTACTCCATCTGGAATGCTATCTTTTAAGCTTGACTTAAAAATTGGTTGTTCTATTATACTTCTTCATAACCTTGCTCCTAACTAAGATCTTTGTAATGAAGCACATTTAATTGTAATTTAGCTTACAAATCATATTATTGAAGCATTTATTCTTAGTGGTGATCAAGCTGGAAATTTAACTTTTATTCCTCACATTACATTGACATCATCTTCAACAAGTTTATCTTTTATTTTTAAAAGAAAACAATTTCCAATTCAATTAGCTTTTGCAATTACTATAAACAAATCTCAGGGTCAATCACTAAAGCATATTGAGTTGGATCTTAGAACTGCAATTTTTATACATGGCCAACTTTATGTTGCTCTTTTCTGTTGTACATCTCTATGATCAATCAAAATTCTTTTACTACAAGAAACTACCAACTGCTCTACTTTGAACATTGTTTATCCTGAAGTATTAATA